AAAAACTGTTCGCTGGATTATCCGAAACCAAAAAATTAAGATTCATTCATTAGATGATAGTGAACGAATAATACTTTATATACTATAGTTTATTGCATAAAATGTGTGTACACCTAATCCTGTTTTTATACGGTAGATTGGTTTCAGAAAAAACCGTGTAAAAAACGACTTTGATCGTATGCAAAATTAGGTGAGGAATAGGTTCCTTTTCTTCAAAACCTATTAAATTTTGTGAAAACAAGTATTTTTTAGAACGAGTATTAATGTAAATTTGTGTTATGCTTAATGTGTATTTACACATGCATAGTTATTGATGAGGGAAATATGCACTATAAGTTTAAAAGTAATGTAAATTAAATGTAGACAAGTTCAGGAACTAAAAACAAATATGTAAAAAGCTAGAAATAACTCAATGCATATAAAATATTTCTTTGACTTTACTTCGTCTGATTGTATTGATATTTCAAAATATTAACACATTTAAAATTTGCTTGTACGAAAAAAAGGGGGATATCATTTTTATACTCTCGCAACTTGTTGCTACAGAGTATAATAGATTTGTTCACCTAACGGTTGTTTGTATCACCTAAAACTAATCGACTTAGATATAGGGTTATGTACATATAAATGATCAGGATGAAGCGACGAGTTGAAATCCGGGTGACTGTCTATCCGTCCGGCCGTCTGTGCAAGCTGTAACTTGAGTAAAAATTGAGATATCTTTATGAGACTTGGTACACATGTTTCTTGGTACCGTAAGGTTGGTATTGCAGATAGGCGTAATCGGACCACTGCCACGCCCACAAAACACCATTAATCAAAAACAAATACATTGCCATAACTATTTGGCATACAGGATCACATTAGGGAAAGACATCAAGAGTTAAAGATTTTTTTTAAGTGGGCGTGGTCCCGCCCTTTAATAGGTTTAATGTGCATATCTCCTAACCCACTAAAACTATAATAACAAAATTCACTGAAAGCAAATGTTTTTAGCAACTCTACCTACAGTGTGAAGATGGGTGAAATCGGTTCACAACCTCGCCCACTCCCCATGTAACGGTATTGTTAAAAACTACTAAAAGCGCGATAAATCAAGCACTGAACACGCCAGAGACATCAAATTTTATCTCTGGGATGAGATGATTTTATTGGAACCGCTTTCATAATTAGACAGTGGGTGTGGCACCGCCCACTTTTAAATAAAAACCCATATCTTGGGGTCTGCTTAACCGATTTCAATCAAATTTGGCACACGGATTACAACCACACCTATTTCCCATATAACCTCATTTTAAATTCCATCTGATTTTTTCACTTGCCAGTATGCAAATCAAGGAGCAATGACTATATCGAGGTAAAACTTTGCGTGAATAATGCGTTTAAAGTATGCCACCTTGTGATCAAACAAGAAAAAACGTTAACTTCGGTTGCACCGAAGCTATAATACCCTTCACAGGTACAAAGGTTCCTTACAATAACTTGATTCAGATCTAACTTCGTGAATCGATAATAAAAAATAATTTTTTTTTAAGCAGGCACTATGATCGTTCAGTTTATATGATAGCTGTATGTCATAGCAATCCGATCAAAACAATTTTTTCGGAGATTATATTCTTGCCTTAGAAAATAACTCATGCCAAATTTCGTCAAGATACCTCGTGAAATGAAAGAGTTTTTCATGCAAGCACTTTACTCCGATCGTTCAGTTAATATGGCAACTATGTGTTATAGTCATCCGATCTGTACAATTTCTTTGGAGCTTGCACTATTGTTTTAAATAATATTCTCTGCCAAATTTCGTGAAGATACCTCGTGAACTGAAAGAGTTTTCCATACTAGCACTTGATTCCGATCGTTCAGTTTGTATGGCAACTATATGTTATAGTCATCCGATCTGTACAATTTCTTTGGAACTTGCACTATTGCTTTAAATAATATTCTGTGCCAAATTTCGTGAAGATATCTTGTGAAATGAAAGAGTTTTTCATGCAAGTACTTTACTCCGATCGTTCAGTTAATATGGCAGCTATAAGCTATAGTCACCCGATCTAAATAATTTCTTTGGAGATTATATTGTTGCCTTAAATAATAATCCATGCTAAATTTCGTGAAGATACCTCGTCAAATGAAAGAGTTTCCCATACAAGCACTAGATTCCAATTGTTCGGTTTGTATGGCAGCTATATGCTATAGTCATCCGGTCAAAACAATTTCTTCGGGAATTATATTGTTACCTTTGAAATTAACTCATGCCAAATTTCGTGAAGATATTACCTCAAATAAAAAATTTTCCCATACAAGTACTTAATTCCGATTGTTCAGTTTGTATGGCAGCTATATGCTATAGTGGTCCGATATCGGCCGTTCCGACAAATGAGCAGATTCTTAGTGAGAAAAGGACAGGTGCAAAGTTTTAGATCGATAGCTTAAAAACTGAGGGACTAGTTTGTATATATACAGACAGACGGACCGACGGACAGACAGACAGACGGACATGGCTAAATCAACTCAGCTCATCATACTGATCATTTATGTATACATTTTATAGGGTATCCGACGTTTCCTTCTGGGTGTTACAAACTTCGTGGCAAACTTAATATACCCTGTTCAGGGTATAAAAACGTCTAAATCGAGCCAAAAGTGTTCAAGCCCCTAGGTACTGAATATATGTACCCCAATGCCTATAGTTGACTTTTTACCGAAAATATAGGTCAATATGTAAAATATATAATTAAAATTCATATAATAAAATAAATAAATGAAACTCTCCATAATTGTATGTCTTTATATTAAAAATGTATTGAATCGGATCAATACTTCCTCTAATATGAAATTTTGCCAACACCTGAAGTAAGTTCCCGGGTTTTGATCCTTGCAAGTTGCGAGAGTATAAAATGTTCGGTTACACCCGAACTTGGAACTTCCGTACTAGTTGTTTATTCAAACAAAAATAAGAATTAGTAATTCGCTTCACAAAAATAGTTAAAAGGATTCAAAATAAAGTTAATAGTTGCTAAATGGTAGAGGCAATTTTTATATTTACGAAAAGTTCTGAGTTATTTATCGCTGTTTTGTTTTTCGAATCATCTCAGTTGACTTTGAGCAAAATGTTGTCATGAAAAATCTTTCATACGATTCATATAGCTAATTTGGAAAGCTTTGAAAAATACATTAAAAACTCCAAAAAACTGGTCCAGAGAAATGTTAAAAAAATACTAAAACCTTGCTTCGAATCACGTTTATGACATCATGAAATGTGATGATTTGTGGATTTACGCGTATGAGTCCGAAAGTAAACAGCAGTCGACTGTGTAGGTGTGTCCAGATCAGCCGAGTCCAACAAAAGTTGTTCGCGCACGAAGCACTTCTAGGCAAATGGTTACCAGTTTTTTGGAAAAACTGGACATGTCGCAACCATACAACTAAAACAACACAGAATAGTTAATTCTGAGCGGTACACCACCATTTGTTTACCAATTGTCTTTTCAGAAAAATTAAGCACCGAAGACGGATCAATCTTCACCACAGCAATGCAACTTCTCACACATCGACAAAAAAAATGCATTTTTGAGCACTCGACACCTGAAGAGGCGGTTGATGCGTTCAGAACACATGTTTTGGAGATACCCCATTCAGAGTGACAAAAATGCTTCGACAATTGAATCAAACGCATGCAAAAGTGTTCTTAATGGAGAATATAGCAATAAAGCGATTTTCAATTATTAATACTTGTTTCTGTTCTCTAATATTGAAATATAAAAGGCATCTCTCGTATATTGTGCGAACTTATTACTTGTATACCATATGTACATACATATATAAGCTCGCTAATTCGGTTGTTATTTATCTTACAAAGCACGTTCAAAATTCAAACTAATTAAATATTTGCACCGTCTGCTTATTTTTCAAGTTTCTGTTTTGTAAAATGTGCACATAGGTTTTCGCCTGTATGTAGCAACTCTTTTTTATTAATCCTATGAAATCACAAATTAGAATTATAAATTCGTTTATTGGATAAAATAGGCGAAAAATGTGTATGAACAGTCCAAAGTGTGTTATTTATATGTACATATGATCCATATGTATGTGCAGGGTAACTAGGTGTTCTCTCCAATATTCACCCAAGCTTTTTGTGGTGGAAAAAAAAAACTTCTTAAAGAGACACAGACCGCATCATTTTCTTTTAATGATATGTGTTGATGACACAAATACATAAAATCATAATTTTAATAATTAATAATTATGAGAACATAAAATTCTGAAAATACAATACCATAGTTAAATGCTGAAAATGAAGAAAATCGGTTTACGAATTACCCCAGCTCTCATATATATAACATATAACGATTTTCGTTTTTCTAGCAGCTTCTTCACGAAATATATCGGCCAATATGTGAGTTATCTTTTTACAATTGCGTGGAAACATATTCTCGTGTATAATTGAGTAATGGTCAAAAGTTAGTGCAATCAGTTTAGACCTTGTCCTAACCGCAATCATATTTTTTTGAAGCAAGTAAGTGGACACATTTTTGCGAATATTTATATTGAGATATCTTTACACAATTATATGGGAATTTTATATTTAACATAATGTTGTGATTTGATCTAGCTATCTATATGTGCTTTGATGCCAATAATAACAACAATAACAATCGAATCGGCCCAACCCAACATATACATATTCTAGTCACCTAAATGTGTATCATATAAATCAGTCTATAAGTATGGCAACACGTCTTTATTACCATAATGAGATTTTATGCGTAAAATTGATTAAATCGGTATCCACCACTACTTACTACTTTTTCCTTATTAAGTAAACTTAATTCGCTTGGAAGATTGTTTATATCAAGCAACGCGACTAGATAAAACTAGCAAAACGTTTTCCGTTCTTTCAGATTTAATTATACATATACTTGCTAAAAGTAATGCACCTATGAAGGATATTATAATGTTTTTTCTTGTTTTTCATATAACTTTTCGAGGGTCTAAGGAACACTCTTATTTTAAACTTTGTACTCCAATACGATGACTATTTATTTGCATAACGACGTTTTTATTCCTGTAAATCTTAGTATACATACATATTGTACAATATTTCAAACATATGTTTGTATGTACCTAAATGTGTTGAGGTGCATACTTATGTATTTATGCACTTGAGAGGGTGTGGGGGTATTATAGTAGCGGTGCGTACCGCTTTACCCACAACAAGTGAGTCTGGCGAGTATGACAAACTCAATTAATTCCCAGAAGTCAAATATTAATCATCGACCAACTATGAGCAGGGGAAGGTCCCCCCAAAAACAAAACAACCTCATTTTTTTACACAAACGTAGTGTCTGCAAAACGAGTTAAACAACACTTGCTTGATTTTCGCAAACTTAACAGCCGCTTTCAGCCACTACACAACAATACTTAGTGAATAGAAGGGCAAAACACTGAAGATCGGACAATAATCATAACAAAGTAAATGCATATATACGAATACATTTAACTCTCAGTCGAGGGAGTAAAATTTATCAAAAACAATAAAAACCGGAGAGTACAGCTCAAACAGCTGGAACAAATACCGACACGATCATTGACAGCACAAAGTCATCAACGAAACAACAACCGAAAGCTCCACCTTTGTATTCTCCACTCATATCGAATACGAAGTAGCTTTTCAGCAACTGTCCACCGATCAGTGGGTGACTTCTGGTGCCGCGTAGTGTACGTCATATTGTCAGTTCAATTTTGCTCGCATCGTTGGGCGGTTGTGTTTTAAGAAGCGAACAGTTTTTCGATTTTTAATGAAATTTGTGTTACATTTCATAACTTAAACGACAAAGTTGTGTGGTTAAATGTGGTACTTACATGATCATATACCACTAGAAATTGCCTTAAATAATTGAACCTAAAATTAGTGCAGCTTCATTACATACGACATTTCGATCACTCAGCTTAAACCGTGCAGTACACACGAATATTCATCGAATCGCGTCTATTTATGTGCAAAGTGAATTAAATATAGGTATCCCATTAAATTCAGTTGCATGGCAGAAAAAGCTGCCACTTCAAATCCAGTTACCAGCAATTGTCATTGTGTAAGGAATATTATCGTACTTATCTTTAACTTCATGTAACTCATACTGTCAACATGAACATATACGTATATACAAACATACAGACGAAATAATGTGTACGTCTGTTGCGCGTAATCTTATATCATTACCTACAAATATGTACATATCTACGAATGTATACCCTAAACATGCTAAGCATTCTTTCAACAATATTTTCTTCAAATACAATAACTGGACATATTTTTCCGTTCAATTTTATAATTGATTTTGTTTTGGTCGTGGAAAAATCGAACTAGTGCACAATTAGCGAAACATCTAACAACCTTTGACAATGTAATGTATATATAACGCGGTAAGCATAAGTTAAACAAATATACATACATGTGTATGAAATTACAGGAGTGTTGCCTAGACAAGAACCTGGGATAGCCGAATTAATATTTTGAAATTTGTGCACATTTTACATATTCATTCCCATGTTTTGTATATAAGCTGTATAAGTACTCGCCCTTGAAATTGGCCGAAAAGAAAACCCAAAGATAATAAATTCCCTAGCCCTGTACTCGTAATCTTATCTCAAAATTGTTCAACAAGGTTTTTGTGCTTGTGGTTTCACTAAATATACCAAATAAGTTTTTAAAAATATTATGTACAATACTTGTATGTATATATACGTATCAAAAAATAAATAAAGAGTGAGCTAACCCGAACTTTAAAAACTCGAAAAATATGGGCGTAAAAAGTTCATTATAATTTTAATATGTCACCATAATTTATGAGAATTAACTTATACATATTTGTTACTAGCATATACGACGTATTCACTTGACTTTGTTAGAAATTCCGAGCTTAAGTTGACGACTTTATGTTAACCAAATACAATTTGTGGAGCAAAATCGTCCATCGTTGACACAAATCTACCTCGTCTTCAACTTTGTCTTGATATCTATGGTAATAAGAGACATTATAAAATGACACTCATTAATAAAAATGAAAAAGTCAACTATTTATAAACCAGGTAGATCTAAAGGTAATTTGATTCCTCCTAGTTACAATGGTAACTTACCTAGTTCAGTAAAAATTCATATACCGAGTCACCAACAGAAGGAGTTACGGATAAATATTGCCTATGAAATCCTCTTTCCATTTTGAACATTTTCTATTTTATTTTGGTTTTTGAATTTTTTTGACACAATTAATAGTTCATTTTTATGGTTACTCTGAAATGAAAATTTGTTACATTCTTAGCCCAATGCATATACATACATACAGGACAACATCAAATGATCTTAATCGATCAGAAAGATCGCGTTAGAATAAACTTATGGACCGACTTGCATTTATTAAAATAACATACAAATTATTTCTTAATAAAGGATTCAGGAAAGCCGTAATATGGTTGTTGTTGTTGTAACATTGATATATTTAATTATGCGTATGTTCTCAAATCAATTAAAATATGTACATATGTATATATTAAAATATGTAAGCATGGGTACACAGAGAAAACAGCTCATTTGAGATGTATAGACATGTGTAATTATTTCACATCTTCGCAAATTCATGGGACTATACTAAGTCAAGAATACTTAACATGGATACTAATGAGTCATACACTACACATACGTGCATTTGTATGAAAGTATGTTATTCCATACTCGTGCTGTTATTGGAAGATTTTTAAAATGTTGACTAATGACAGTAAGCAAAGACAAACGTTCCTTTTTAAAAATACCTATATATAGCCATCAATTTTAATATATACTAACCACAGTAGATAGGTTTTGTTTTGCAAACCTTAGTAAGGGTATGTTATTAAAAGTCTCCAACTTAACAACATCAAAGGAAAGGACATTATTTTTTTCAAACTGCGAAACATATTTGATAAGAACTTGAAGCATTAAGAAATATTTGTATGAATTAGAATTCACACATGGGATATACTAAGTTATACTAAGAACAAGTATGTGATTTGAGATGTGATTAAATTTGGTGCTTGTAGTCGAGTACATTCCGAGTGTGACTTAAACTTTGTGGATAAAATTCCAGTAGTAATAAGTCTAAAAGCCTAACATTATTAAGTTCTTTTAAAAAAACTCTCCTTTCTTAGGATCACCGTAAAGATGAGCTGCTAGCAAATATCGAAAATGTATTGTTTACCATTCGTGGACTCGTCTTGAATTAAAAACTGATTTTTGATCAACACTTTTTCTTTATTTTTATTTTATTAATTCAAAAGACGTATTATGAGCATATTCTTGCTGTTCATAGCAGTAAAAATAAATAATTTGACTTTCCATTAATTGTATCTCTAGTAGAAGTAAGTAAGACATGTTAATTAGCTTACATATATACATACATATTTTTATGTTCTTATATACACATTCATCACAGCTACATAGCATTTATATAGGTATATGTATATACAATACATATATTCGTCACATTTTTTTTCCAAAGTTGCACAAAATGGCGACTGTTTCACCCTCATCGGAAATTTTATATCAAGTTTGCATATTCCTAAATTGATAACCTATGGAGCTCATAAAACTAAAATTAAAAGCATACTCCAACTATTTCGTTTAGATGAAATGTGCATTTAGTAGCATGTATAAACCTGTGTATAAAAATATATTCACGACCAAATTAAGTTGGATATATTACGCGATGAATGTACATATTGTACATGGTATAATTCATATACAACTGAATGCATATCATATACGGTTATATAATATATAAATATATATGTATATACCTATACTTATGTATATGTATGCTTGCATGTACATACATATATTCACAGCAACAGACTCATCCAACTAGCCACGGTTGGCCTTAAACTTCATAGTTGACCTTCAACCTAACTCAACTGTTACGATAACAATTGCTTCTAAATAATGCAACAAATGTATACGTTTAGCCTGCAGTAAAAGTTGTCTCTATTATAAAAAAATTAGGTTTTTTAGTTTAAAAAGTTCTTAACAAATTTGTATGCAGACATTCGGTCGTAACCTTTTTGTGGTGTGGAATTTCACCTACATACATTTATACATATGTAAATGTGGAGAGTTAAAAATACACTGACATTAAAAACTAAGTAGATTTATTTTCATTTGATTAGAAATCGTATAGGATTACCCAGAAGTTGCTAAAAGTCCTAGAATTTGGTAATATTAAAAGGTTTAAAATCAGTAGCAAATATAATTTATTGTACTAACCGAACTGGTTGTGTTATATCTTGAAACCAGTGCAAAATATATATGTAAATGCCCGTATTTAGAATAAAGGTTAAATATAAACATAGGCGTGTATAGGGTTTTACCCCATAAAACTGTTTGGGATTTTCATGCTTCGATAACTTAGTTGATTATTTGATCAACAATGAATTGTTGGCACCAATTTCCCGAATAATGATCAAATAATTAGATGTGTATGTATGTACATACATAGATATTTAATAATAATAGTAACTTACGAGCAAATCTTTTCTTAAACTGTCCAAATTAGACATAATGAATGATATGTATGGGTATAGTAATTTGACGAGAAGTTGTAATGAAGATGCATTTGTAGATTCGATAATGCTTGCTAAGGCACGATTGATAGTAGAAAAAAACCATGGAACAAGCGTTCGTATGTATATACTCGCGTTGAATATACAAGTATATAAATATAAATAAAATGCATGGCTTTATACATACATATGTACATATATACTTACGATACATATGAAATTATAGCCGGTTAATAGCCGGTTTCCATCTTTAATTTTCAAAAAATATGGAACAATAATGCCTTCTGCATGCAAATCACACCACTTTGTAAATTTTTCTGGGTACAAGGGACCCCTGAAGGATCTCTTCAGTATTGTTTTATTTTGCTTATTCACGTACCCTCTAAGCCGGTAATGTCGTAAATTTGTGACCCAGAAAGTGAGTTTTAATAACTTCGGCTTAATTTAAAACACATAGTACTGAACATAAATGTTATTTACATTCCTGCTGGCTATTCTATACCTCTAAAAGAACCCCCTATATGTAAATATTTGATATGCCTGATTCGTGCAAGCGCGAATGACACAAAAATAACTATACCTCTTATGACTGGCGCATACCAAAAATATGAAGACTTGACAGTGAGATATTTAGCAATGTTACTTTGTTGTGGAACACGCACACATATATAAATATATATACTTGTAATACCATATTTATACTTTTATATCTGCAAAACCAGAACATATAGACATTTTTGTGTATGAATCAGAATGCCGACATGACCTTTTAGTTCGCCATAAAGGTTGAATGAATATTTATCATTGTTAGATTTAAACGTAACGATATCATATCACAAAATACCATACAGAAAAGTGTGAATGTATAAGTGCGTATACTTGTAGAATGTTTTTTAATAATAATTTCATTTAGGATATATGTCGGGTTATAATAATCAATATTTCATTATAAAGTACAGAGCATATAAACAATAATATAAAGCATCCAACTTAGTTCGGGAAAATCGAGACAAGTGTGGAAAAATTTACTGTAAGGTATACTTATATACATACATACGTATGTCAATATCTTCAAATGAACAAGCTTATTAATTCTTAATAGTAATTTATACTTCATATATCATTAGTCATTAGTTGTTTAGTTATATTATGAGGATATACAAACATATGAATCATATGATTTGATAATAAATGTACACAGATTTCATTTGGATACACATTTTCTACAAAATACAGTGTAACCTTGATATAGCGAATCTGAAAGGAACTAGAAAATATTCGTTATATCGAGTTATTCGTTACAGTGAGGTTTGTTATATTGAGGTTAAATTGAACTTGATTTTTTATATTTACCAATTATTGTACAAGAGGTTTAAGCTTGTGTGTTCCGGTGCAATTAGATCTTAGCAACACTGTTAACTGAATTTTGCTGTTTTTCCCACCATGGCATTTGTCGCCTTTAAATGAAAGGGTTTTGTATAGCAAACACTTATAGAAAAGTGCGGTTTCATCGATGTTATAAATATCTTCAGGGTCATAGCCCTCAGTCTGAAATAAAAGTTTTTATTTCCAGTCGTCACATACTTGTTCATTCACTTCCGCATTTTCACCACATATTTTTCGAAAAATAATCTCATTTCTTCTTTTAAAGTTTTTGAGCCACCCATTACTGGCACGAAATGTTCCAATTCTACTGCAAATTGCTGGGCTTTTTCTTGAAGATTAGGGCCTCCAATTGGTACATTTTTGTCTCGACATTGTTTGAGCCACTTCAAAACACATTCTTCCACGTCCGTATATCCCGCTTTCTTCAGCAAATCTTCCTTTTAATTTCAAAATTGTAGCTAATGTACTTGTTGGAATGGCAATCTCTAATTTTTTTACTAAAGTATTTTCGTCTACAAACTTGATTATTTTTCGTTCAGTTTACAATTAGTTTTTAAAAAAACTGTTTTACGGAAGATTGTAGGTAGTGATCGAAGTTGCAGCGAAAGAGGAATTGAAAATTTGAGCTTTGCATCCTCAGCTTCTTGGAAAAGTCACAAGTAGCTGCGAGCCAATCAAATCATCAGCTTTTGCCAGCTAGTGAAGGGAGTGAGCAAATTATAGTCAAAAAGCGATTAACTAAGGGGGGGATGTTTTTGACTACAGTCAAACAGCTGACGAGAAAAGGAGTCATTCGTTATATGAAGGTTGTGGATCAAAAAATTCGCAGAGTAAAGGTCAAAAATAGTTTCGATCTATATTTTTCTGAGTCTAAAAATTCGTTATCGTGAGGTTGAAAAAACAAAATATTCGTAATACCCCGTAAAAGGTATATTTAACATGAGCTCTTATGGGCAATGCTAGGGGGTTTTGAAAAATTCGTTATATCAAGGAATTTGTTATATTGAGGTTCGTTATATCAAGGTTTCACTGTAATATGTTCTCGTTTCTGGAAAGTCAGCACTAATTGATAATTTTTAAAATGATATTCAGCACTTTTTCGAGTTTATACGCAACATTAGGTAGCAAGTTAAAAGAGAGTTGGAAATAAGGAAATTATCCAAGATGGTCTCACCAATGATCCTTTCTTTATTGAAAATCAAACATACATGTATTGTAATATATCCATTGGGGAATAAATTTTTAATTCAAGTTGGAATTATATATTATAGTGTATGTAAATAATAACCTATATTTAAAATCCTTGGCAATAATTCACGATTAAACACGCCCCTTAGACTGGATAATTCCAAGTAATTCAATTCATTACCAATTCAATAACATCGCTGAATAACCAATTTGCATTAAAATATTTTTATGAGGAAATATTTCTAATATCATTAACATAAGTTGGGGGCCTTTTTTTAAACGATATGGATTGACACATTCAGGGGTGTTGTGGAATCTAAAACAAATTTGCGTAGTTATCAGAATTGCAAACAAATTCTGATTTTTTGGGTTGGTTTTTCGTCTTTTCGAACATATGCAAAACTAATATTCAGATCAGCTGCTTACTATTGTGACAAAACTTGCAAATTAATAAATTTGGAATCGTTTGATAAATTTGAAATACTGAATAAAGTCTACTAAAGTTTATAACGAGTTTCGCTCTTATTTTATTGAAAAAAAGCAACGAAAAAATTAAAAGGAAGATATTAAAATATCACAGTAATCTACTTGATGCACATTTGGGTATTTATTACGTTTTGTAAATCCTCTTAAAATATCTGGATTTTTTCCATAAACTCGTAACAATATTAAAAAAGAATTTCTTAACATACATTTCAAATCTGTCAGCGACTATCCACTTGCTTTGTTTCTGATAACAAAACCGATAAAATTGGTTTTCGTAATACTCAAAGTCGTTACAATTTCTGTTTCGAACTAATGAAAAACTATTTTATTTGTGAAGGGTATCAATTTTTCTTACTTAGAATGCATTTAATCAGGGGTTTTGTAGAATCTGATAGTTGCCGGAATGAGAATTGAAACCGACCTAACTACATTTTTTGATCGTTGATTGAAGTTTATGTCGTATCATCCAAATTCACTTTTCTTTCCCTGTTGATTTCAAATTAACGCTCCTATTATTTTGAGAAGCCAAAAACAAAACTTATTTGTGAAAATCGGTAATTATCAAGCACAGATAAAAGTCAAAGGCAAACCTTAAGCGACATCATAATTTGCACTAATATTTAAACAAATTACTAAAAAAAAGAACACAAAAAAATAAAAAATATAATTTCAATATTTATGCAACAGCACTTTTATTATTTTGATAACAGCGACATATATATTTCTTAGGGTCTCCGACGTTTTCTTCTGGGTGTTAGGGAACTTCGTGATAAACTTAATATACCCGGTTCAGGGTATAAAAATTAACTTTGCTATGCAACTATTTCATTTAATAGTAAGTAAAAGTGTTGTTCTCCTCCAGATAGGGACAACAATAATCCAAATATCATTTAAAACAACCAAGAAATCTTAAATTGCATTTAGATAAGTAAAATATGTTGCCTTTTAACTCATTTAATGGTATGGACAAGTAATTTTTCTCTTTTCTAATTAATAAGAAAAGGAAACTAGCATAATGTGAGCTAAACTTTCGAAATGCAAATCTTTTTGCAAACTTATTTGCAGTTTGATAGTTTGAATATTTTTTCTTCAAAGTGGTGGCAAACGATTTGTGGTTTGCCATAAGACTGAGACTGATTAAGATAATAAGTCTACCTAAATCTACATATCGAAATTTTATATCGTGGTTTATACTCCACTTTCAAAATACTGCTTTAAAACACAAAATAAACTCGCAATACAATTAGGAAAACTTTAAATGGAAAGCAAGTGACTTTTACAGTGTAAATAGAGTTACAGTACTTCTTAAATACGATTCAGCAAGCTAATTTGGGCAAGTAGAGATTCACTTTTAAAAGTTACTTTGTAAACAAAATAGGATAAACACAACTCTATCTGTTAGCTCCTGCTTAAATAAGCCTACCGCGTTCATATGTATTCGTGAATCTGAGCTTGTTACACTATTTTTACAAGCAACGCATTTATGCAACAACACTATCACATCAATTTTTGACAGCAATACTCGTAGTTAAAACATCATTAACAAGTTTCCTTAAAAAAAATGTCTCGACCAATATGTATGTATGCATATGTAACATATGTATATACATATATGCAAAATAAGATATTGAATTATGAGCTAGAGCATTCGCAAGATATGTATGTTATTATTTCCTTTCTCTGGGTGACATGTTGACAATTATTTGGAAATTACTTACAGTTTTAAGTATAGATTTCTTAGAGTTTAATAAATCAATTATTAAAATTTTTATTAAATACTACATTTTTTATTATCTCTTGTACATACATACTTATATTTATACTTACACATTTTTTTTAGATTAATCGAATTGTTTAACTTATTAAATCTACGAGGGGTCTAAAATACTCGGTTGCAAACAGCGTATATAATTGAATTATGTTGTATTGTAACTCAAGGAGACGAAGTACAGCGAAGTGTTCGACAATCGACGGAATTTCCTACAAAATGCGATCCTGCCAACAGTGTTCAGTATTTATAGTTTTAGTCACCTTAGTAGCCGTAATTGGTACTGTTTATCCCAACCCTGTACAGACGACAACACAAGCTGAGGTATGTATTTTTATATACATATGTATTTATCATTTAGTAAATATTTTTTATGGCAAAAAGTTTTAAAACTTATAATTTTTTAATGTCAGGGGTTATGAAATGTAAGAGTAAACATAAGCACAATAAATATCGGATATAATTAAGAATTATATGTACCAAATCCAGTTAAATATCGCGAATAAAATTTTAATTTGAAGCATGTGAAATCTGAGGAAAATAACATAATTTTTCGTGTTTACCCGCAATTAAAGACATAACAGTAAAAAACGGATAAATCGGTAGGAAGGTTCTCGGAAATGCTCATTCATAATAAATACATACATATGTACTTTGCTAATCAATATAATTCGCTTTAAAAAATTCCATGAATTAAAAAGAAAAACTTACAAACGTGCATATTCTTAATCAGGCATGTGATTTCATTATTATTAATAAATGATTTAGAAAGGAATTCAGAATTTATCTTGTTTTTAAGTTCTAATAATCAAGTAAGGAAAAAAGATATTATCTCCGTAGCTCTCATAAATGTATACATATAGGTGTGTACATATGTATGTATATGTAAGTAAAATACGCCTATTTTTAAATATCCTTATATCCTTGGATTATTGTGGGCTACTTTTTTCCCTTACTTCATTTTCTGAAGACTAATTAATGTTAATGTTTATGCATGTATGTATGTATTATAGAAGTAATTGAATTGCAACAATTATCATAACAAAAAAAAAAAACTTTAAGTACAATACACATATGAGTATATAGAACTTGATTCCAACAAAGAACCTAATAATTATTGCCGTTGGAAATTGCCATTTATATCGTGACTCCAAAATTTAAAAAACAGTGCTATTAAATACAGCTACTGACTATTGAAAATATTTTCCATTAGTTATTTTTTAGTAGCAATTCATCACAAATCAATTATAATGTTAGGTAACACAACAAGGCTGCCAAGTACGTATAGAATAATTGCATGGCAGAGAGACATTTGTATGTATGTAAGGAATAATGTACTTAATAAATGTAATCAAAAAATTTTTACCTCCGAACTGTCCGATTACTATATATCAACGTATGTACATATGTATATATATTTATATAGGGACAAACTCTCCAAGTGTACATTCATTTTTTCGATGGTATAGCTTTTCTCGTACAATAAACGTTTTATGGTTCTAATCGATAAATAAAAATTACAACTTTATTGATTTTTCGAAATTCGAATCGATTTCGCTTATTTGCAGTACGATTATGAGTGAAAATGTTCTCTTTCATTTGATATTACTAATTTTTAGAAAAAACATATTTGTGAAAAATACAAACAAATTTTTTAAACAAATTCAATTAAACTTCTCAATTGCTTTAAGTCACTTTTTTTCATATCAAAAATGGGTTGAATTAGGTCAATATTTCCCTTAGCCCCCATATTCCTAATAGAAAGCTTTTCGAGCTTCCGGCTGACTTTATACTTAATATATCGGCGAATATGTAAGTTATCTTAATGAAATTGAAATAGAGTATTTTTCTAATAACAATGTGTCTTTGTGCATAAAATTAATAAAATCGGGTAAACACTTGCCCTAGCAGCCATATAACTAACATCAGGATTTCAAAACATCCAGTTGACATTATCCCACATACATTGGTGATGGTATGTGAGGTACCTTAATAAAACTCAGGATTATCTTTGTCTGTTATTAACACTGGTAAACAAAATTAATTAATTACTTCTTGAAATATCGTCACTTGGCTTACTTGAAATAATTTTTATTGCAAAAAATTACTAATTTCATAAATAAACCGCTATGTCTACTTAAGAAGAACTTGTTTAAATGATCCGAATAGTTTTTGTGCTGTTTGTAGTTTATATATATATACCTATATGTTTAGAAAATGACGTTTAAATGCGTCTATTTCTAAAAAAATGCCTTTTTTAACTACTTTGGAAATAAAATACATAGAATATAACTGGCTGATACGCGTCGATCTTAAAATGGTAAATTTTATTTTGGGTCAACAATGAGAATATACCACATAGCCTTGTTTCATGTGCTTAAGGGATAGCAGAGCCAAGACAGAACACTAGACTAAAAAAGTTTGGCCTTTGTGAATGAATTTAGTATCGGGTAGTATGAATTTGATGAATAAACTTCTAGTAGCCTGATACCGCATTACATTACCCCCTCTTCATATAGAGTTAGGTCTGATAAAACAGTTTGTAAAAGCTCTAAACATGGATGGGAAATGTTTTAAATATATCAGCAAAATATTTCCGAAATTGAGCACAGAAAAAATTAAGCTGGTAGTTTTGACGGCCCTCAAATCAGTGAAGTATTAAAGGACCAACATTTTACTGATTGTATCTACAGGGATTGAATTTAATTGGGTTGTGCAAAATATCTTAGGAAATAAAGCCTCCAGACTACATTCAACACATTGAGCCATTTAAACCGCTTCCCAGAAAATTTAGGCGACTTAAGCGAACAACAAGGAGAACGCTTTCATCAGGATATTCGCACTATGGAAGAGCGATACGAGGATCGTTGGAATGGCTGATTACTGCTAGAGTATTCAAAACAAGACTGATGTTTCTACTCATACAAGAAAATTTTTTTCATATTAAGTAAGACTAATATATTTTTTAAATCTAAAATTGTGGTATTTTTGGCTAAAAATGTAATATATTCATATTTAGAAAACTAGAGCTGCTAGAGAAAAAACTAGAAGATTTGGAATCAGCGTGGCAAAATCATACAGAATCGGGCAACAAACTTCATAAAACAAAACTACTGTTTCCCAGTGTAATAGTATGTAGAGTGTATAGATAAAATCCTAATATACCTAATACAAGATTTTCAAACTTCCGGTTGGATATAAACCGTATTATCGGTCAATATGTAAGATATCTTAGCAAAATTAATTGAATGTAAATATATACCTAAAATTGGTCCACAACTACCTCGACTCCTATATACTATGTTACATATAATGATTTTCGTTATTCTAACAATCCTTATGCCGAATACGTTGCTCAGTATATGAGTTATATATTTTTAAAATTGCTTGAATTCCAATCCTCTGGTTGATGTTTCGCACCTGAAGGTATTTCCCTGACTTTGGTCCAGGCAAGTTGCAAGGGTATGAAATGTTCGGACTTAGCCTTTCCTCACTTGTTTTTTTATATCGTTTGGATTCTAAACTGTTTTTTTTATCGTTTAGAACAGTGGTCGGCATTTAATAGCATAATTGTGTAAGCTAACTTCATACGTACGCTTACGCTCTGTCGTTGTCGAGACAACCCTGCAGGAAATTGTTTGTCATTATTAATGCTCTATGATATTCAGGGGTGTTGTGGAATCCAAAACAGATTTGCGTAGTTGTCAGAATTGCATTCTGATTTTGAATGGTGTCACAGAATCTGACTGGATTTGCGCCTTTTCGAACATATGCAAAACCAATATTCGAATCAGCTGTTTACTAATGTGACAAAATTTGCAAATGTATAAATTAAGAAGCTTTTTATAAATTTGAAATCCTGAATGAAGTATACTAAAGTATACAATGAGTTCCGCTAGGGCTGGGGCCACATATTTAGTACTTAGGGGCTTGAACAGTTTTGGTTCGATTTAGGCAATTTTTGGTCACAAGGTGGCATACATTAAACGTATTATTCACGCAAAGTTTTACCCCGATATAATCATTGTTGCTTGATATGCATAGTGGAAAGTGAAAGAATCAGATGGAGTTGAAAATAGTGTTATATGGGAAATAGGCCTGGTTGTATTCCGATTACGCCCATTTTCGCAATATAACATAGAAATATGAAAAGAACGCTATGAACCGAATTTGGTTGAAATCGGTTAAGCAGATCCCAAGATATGGGTTTTCACCTAAAAGTGGGCTGTGCCACGCCCACTGTCTAATTTTGAACGCGGTTCCTATAAAGTCATCTCATACCATCCCAGAGATAAAATTTAATGTCTCTGGCGTGTTTAGTGCTTGATTTATCGCGCTTTTGAAGTTTTTAACAGTACCGTTATATGGGGAGTGGGCGGAGTTGCCACCCGATTTCAACTATTTTCACACTGTAGGTAGAGGTTCTAAAAACATTTGCTTCCAGTGAATTTTGTTATTATAGCATTAGCGGCTTAGGAGATATGCACATTAAACCTATTTGGGAGTTAAATTACGTTGCTACGTTTCATAAATTCTCTTAAAATTTCTTGATTTTTTCCATAAACTCGATAATTATGACATTTTTTGTTTTATTCTTATGTTTTCCGCTATAGAAATAACGATAAATTAAATCGAAACAATAATATAAATTATTTTCTTATCTTACATTTCAAATCTGTCAGCAAAAATCCTCTTGCTTTGTTTCTGATAACAAAACCGATCAAATTGGTTTCCGTGACACCCAAAACCGATGCAATTTCTGTTTCGAACGTCAAACCAATAATATCTGAATTCATGACACCTACTACATTTTTTTATCGGTTTATATTCTGATTCCGACAACTATCAGATTCTACAGCACCCCTGATTATGAATTAGACCATCGGAAAAATATGGTACACTTGGGAGATTTTGTCTTTATATACAATAAGCTTTCGAGCGCAAACCTGCTTTGTTATCAAATATTGCGAGTATGACCATATTACAGTTTAAGTGCAATTTTTTTAGTCCCAAAATTCTTTTTCAAACTAATATATTTTGGTCAGGAATTTGTAGTTATGATCTATCTATTTTCCTGACAAATATTATATGCTGTCACAAATATTATATGCTGTATCAAAAAATATATAGATATTTATTTTTTTACGCAAAAAATATAAATTCCGTGTTCCCGACGCTTAAATTTAACCTGTTTTGTTAATTAAGTACTTTCAATTGTGCGAACTGAGAATGCAACACGATTGGGACACACCCGAGATTATTGTTTTTACACGTCTGGGATGTTCAACTTAAATCACAACTAAAATATTAGATATTATCAATTT